CTTCCCTCTCTGCCTCCCTCATTTTACCTCACTCTCATGCACACACTTGAATATGCTTATGGTGGGTACTAAGAGAGAAGAAAAAGGAGAATGAGAAAGAGGAGGGGGGAAGAGGGAGAAAGAGGAAAGAGAGAAGAAGTACGAGATAATGAGGCTAAGAGTAGTGAAGGATGGTATTTAGTGATAATACGTCTACTGTATATGGTAATGAAGACATGACACAGTGACGCAGCTGATGGTGGGGATGATAACACGACACAATAACACACCCACTCCTCCTCCTCCTCCTCCTCTTCTTTCCTCCTACCTACGTGTAACCAAATAGGTAAGAAAACTATCCACAGTCCGTCCCCATTCTTTAGTAAAGGATTCCAGCTGTGTCTGAGTCTGTTTAGCCCTCAGAAGGTTGTTTACCAGACCTTAAATTAATAAATATAACTTCATTTTTTTAAGCAGTCTGTCCCGGTATTCTGAGACTATTACGTCTCTATGGCTTATAAAGTTGTTCAAAAGTAGTCCAGTTAAAGGCTCGCCTATCAGTCTCTCTTGAGAATGTATTACTCTACAGAGATGACTACACCAGCGTCTCGTAGGTACACTTCCCCTCCTCCTGATGACTACACCAGCGTGTCGTAGGTACACTTCCCCTCCTCCTGATGACTACACCAGCGTCTCGTAGGTACACTTCCCCTCCTCCTGATGACTACACCAGCGTGTCGTAGGTACACTTCCCCTAATTGTGTACAGTACCAACCTCTGCGGACGAGTCAGCCCATCTTGGACCACACTGTACTGAGACGCTGCCGCAACACCAATATACAGGACATCAAGACTTCACTGTGTGCACTCTGCACCCTGATGCCCATCATCTACCCACACACCCTCCATCCCTCCACACCTTCCTCCTCCATCCTCCACACACCCTCCTCCTCCATCCTCCACACCCCCCTCCTCCTCCATCCTCCACACCTTCCTCCTCCATCCTCCACACACACCCCCTCCTCCATCCTCCCCACACCCTCCTCCTCCATCCTCCACACACCTCTCCCTCCATCCTCCCACCTCCTCCTCCATCCCTCCCCCCTCCTCCTCCATCCCTCCCACACACCCCTCTCCTCCCATCCTCCCCACCCCTCCTCCCTCCATCCTCCCACACACCCCTCCCCTCCTCCATCCTCCACACCCCCTCCTCCTCCATCCACCACCCTCCTCCTCCATCCTCCACACCCCCCTCCTCCATCCTCCCCACACACCTCCTCCTCCATCCTCCCCCACACACCCTCCTCCTCCATCCTCCACACACCCCCCTCCTCCATCCCTCCACCCCTCCTCATCCATCCTCCCCACACCTCCTCCCCTCCATCCCTCCCCACACCCCTCTCCCTCCCTCCACCCCTCCTCCCCAACCTCCCTCCTCCATCCTCCACACACCCTCCTCCTCCATCCTCCCCACACCCCTCCTCCTCCATCCTCCCCACCCTCCCTCTCCCTCCTCCCCCACCCCTCTCCTCCATCCCCTCTACCCCTCTCCTTCTCCAACCTCCCCCCACACCCTCCTCCTCCATCCTTCCACACTCCTCCTCCATCCTCCACCCTCCTCCTCCATCCCCTCCCCCCCCCCCTCCTCCATCCTCCCCCACCCCTCCCCTCATCCATCCTCCCACACTCCTCCCTCCATCCTCCCACACCTCCTCCTCCATCCTCTACACTCTCCTTCTCCAACCTCCACCCTCCTCCTCCATCCTTCACACCTCCTCATCCATCTCACCTCCTCCTCCATCCTCCCCCCCCTCCTCCTCCATCCTCCCACCCTCTCATCCATCCTCCACACCTCCCTCCTCCCATCCTCCCCCCCCTCCCTCCATCCTCCCACACCCTCCTCCTCCATCCTCCCACCCCTCCCTCCTCTACTCTTCCCACCCCTCCTCCTCTATCCTCCCCCTCCTCTATCCCCTCCTCCCACCCCTCCTCCATCCTCCCCCACCCCTCCCCTCCTCCATCCTCCCACCCCACCCTCCTCCTCCATCCCCACACCTCTCCCTCCATCCCTCCCCCACACCTCCTCCCCTCCATCCTCCCCACCTCCTCCTCCATCCTCCACACCCTCCTCCTCCATCCTCTTTTCTCCTCCCACTTATGTGCAAACCTTCATGCTATTTACTCCACTCTTGTACACACCATGAAGCTATTTACTCCACTCTTGTTCACACCATCAAGCTATTTACTCCACTCTTGTACACACCATCAAGCTATTTACTCCACTCTTGTACACACCATGAAGCTATTTACTCCACTCTTGTTCACACCATCAAGCTATTTACTCCACTCTTGTACACACCATCAAGCTATTTACTCCACTCGTGTACACACCATCAAGCTATTTACTCCACTCTTGTACACACCATCAAGCTATTTACTCCACTCTTGTACACACCATCAAGCTATTTACTCCACTCTTGTACACACCATCAAGCTATTTACTCCACTCTTGTACACACCATCAAGCTATTTACTCCACTCTTGTTCACACCATCAAGCTATTTACTCCACATACTCCACGGGCAGAGTCAGGTCATACAAACAAAGTATAATTCACAAAACATAAGCTAATGGGTTAAGGTGTGGCTTAAACAGACATATACCACAATATAATCCTCGGAATATTCCCTCAACTTATAAGACTCCAAATAAGACTCCAAATAAGACTCCATATAAGACTCCATAAGGGTGGCTAGAGGTCTTATGGTGCAGTCTTCCCACATGATGAAGGAATATTATTTAATTGTGTTCACTCGGCTATAAATATGAGGTTGAATAAAACACGATATGCTGGTACTCTTATATGTCCCTGTGAAATGGAACACGTAATTGGATTCTTCTTCCCTCCATTATCCCAACCATTCATTTTCATCATCATCACTTTATATATTTCCCATTTTGTTTACTTATATTTACTTGGTCAAATGTCTTTATTCATCTCTCGCTGATCAATAAAATGAGTTAGTTTGGGTTTGTTAATTTATAATACTATTTTTTTTTTAGTACAGTGGTAAGAGAGCACTAGTTATAAGGTACCATTGTAACTCCTGTGGTATAGCTGTACAATCGACGGTCAATAATAACCATGACATGAAGATCATTATATTCACTCCTTTAACTGTTACTCTGGCGGGATGAGAGTTAAGTGACGTATAACTTGGCAGTAAAACAGTTTATTTTAAGATTAGGAATATTTCCCCCGGTCACATACGTAACTCTCACGGCAATAACTAGGATGACGCATCAATAACTTCAACGCTACAGAAAACATTTGACAGTAGAGTAATAACTTGTGTAGGTCAACAATAACTTCAACAGTTGTGCAGTGGTTTGGGACAGCAGGGTAACCATGTCAGCAGATGGACACCGTAGTTACATGGTCTTAACTGACTCTCTGTGTACCCCGACCCATGACCTGACCACGGGGATTGAGTTGATTTTGAGGTGAAATAAGTTGGGGTTAATCTTCAGGTGATCATTTTTATCTTTTCCTCAGTGACATCATTTTTCTATATTTAGTTTCAATTTGCTTGACTGCGCACCGTAAAGTGAAGGCAAGTGCTCCTCCATGTTTGTTTGTGTGTTTGTATGACGGTGAAAAATATCTTATCATCGAGCAAATGTCCACTAAATGTGATCCGATTGAACTCAGAAATGGCACTCTGATCGATCTTGACCCAGAGACGTTTCCTCGAATTTGTGTTTTCAGTATTACAAATACTGCAAAAAGTGGCGGAAATGTTGGAGTTTGTCTTGTTACACACTAATGGCACTTTAGTGTGGCCCAATTAGCCAAAAAATCTGCATGTAATAGATGTCAATGGATAAAAGTTTTCTTGACTTTGTATGTTATCGCAGTTTCTTCAGATTAGGCCTATGGCAAAAACATAAAAAAAGTTACAAATGACGAAGGCATCTGAAGTGCCAAAAATAAAAATAAATATTGTTTCTCACGTAAACAAAGGAACCCTTTATAAAAATAATATCTTCGTTCATAATGATGTTACACAAATTGCCAAAAATGCTGCGAAATTTCAATTTGGTACAGACGCCATCCGACGGCCGCAATATATAAAGAGAAGTTGGTCTTCATGGATAATATAAAAAGTTTGGTGAAAATTAAACAAATAAATGTGTGCACAATTGCAAATTTTTTAAAACTATATTTCCTTTAAAGTTTGCGACATCTTTACCAATTTTTGCAGGAATTATACACGTGAGATTTAAATTTAGGACAATCTTCAACGTCTGACGCATTCAGATATGAACGTGTATATATATATATTCGCATAGTTTTCTTTCTTTTCTCTCTCAGGAAACAACGCCGGCTGTACTTTAGTCTCACTCCGTGGACGGTTTCAGTTTCTTCTTGTGGTGCACACACCTCTGGCCCTCACTGGTGCCGCTGAGGGAAACAATGCACAAGACAGTTATAATACTACTCAATGACCCCGAGCTGGTACAGTACACTCTTAACTACAACTAATAAAGCCCCCAATAAATATTGACCAACGGTCTAATAATATTATTGTCTTAAACATTATCCCGCTGCAGGACAGGTAATGGGAGAGTAATAATAATATTCATGGAAAAACAAACAAAAAAACAAGCACTTAAATTTCCTTGTTGTTGTCTCTAAGGCCTCAGTTGTTCACCAGCTGTTGTTTCTATAACATAATTTTTTGTAAACATTTAGAATAAACTGATGACATTATAAATTATGCTGTTTTCATATTCTAAGTTTCTATAACACAAGAGTTCTCAACTATATACATGTACATGTATGTATGTATGTATGTATGTATGCATGTATGTATGTATGTATGTATGTATACAGTATATTACTGCTCAGCCAACACTTTCAACTGCCGTCACCGAGGACCTCCCAACACCACTTGTTTCAACTGACAGTCACCCAAGGTCGCCAAAACAACAGACGGCCACATTCACCAAGACAACAGATGGCCAAGGTCATCAAGACAGCAGACGGCCACGGTCACCAAAGCAACAGACGGCCACGGTCACCAAGACAACAGACGGCCACGGTCACCAAAGCAACAGACGGCCACGGTCACCAAAAGCAACAGACGGCCACGGTCACACAACAGACGGCCACGGTCACAACAGACGGCCACGGTCACCAAAGCAACAGACGGCCACGGTCACCAAAACGCGGCCAGTCACCAAAAACAGACGGCACGTTACCAAAACAACAGACGCACGGTACCAAAGCAACAGACGGCCACGGTCACCAAAACAACAGACGGCCACATTCCCAAGACAACAGATGGCAGGTCACCAAGACAACAGACGGCCACGGTCACCAAGCAACAGACGGCCACATTCACCAAGACAACAGATGGCCAGTCACCAAGACAGACAGCCACGGTCACCAAAAGAAACAGACGGCCACGGTCACCAAAGCAACAGACGGCCACGGTCACCAAAACAACAGACCCACGGTCCCAAAGCAACAGACGGCACGGTCACCAAAACAACAGACGCCACGGTCAGCAAAGCAACAGACGGCCACGGTCACCAAAACAACAGACGGCCACGGTCACCCAAAACAACAGACGGCCACGGTCACCAAGACAACAGACGGCCACGGTCACCAAAGCAACAGACGGCCATTCACCAAGACAACAGATGGCCAGGTCACCAGACAACAGACGGCCACGGTCCCAAAGCAACAGACGGCCACATTCACCAAGACAACAGATGGCCAAGGTCACCAAGACAACAGACGCACGGTCACCAAAGCAACAGACGGCCCGTCACCAAAGCAACAGACGGCCACATTCACCAAGCAACAGACGGCCACGGTCACCAAAGCAACAGACGGCCATGGTCACCAAAGCAACAGACGGCCACATTCACCAAGACAACAGATGGCCAAGGTCACCAAGACAACAGACGGCCACGGTCGCAAAACAACAGACGGCCACGGTCACCAGACAACAGATGGCCAAGGTCACCAAGACAACAGACGGCCACGGTCACCAAAACAACAGACGGCCACGGTCACCAAGCAACAAGACCCACATTCACCAAGACAACAGATGGCCAGGTCACCAAGACAACAGGCCAAGGTCACCAAGACAGCAGACGGCCACGGTCACAAAACAACAGACGGCCACGGTCACCAAAACAACAGACGGCCACGGTCACCAAAGCAACAGACGGCCACGGTCACCAAAGCAACGAACCACATTCACCAAGACAACAGATGGCCAAGGTCACCAAGACAGCAGACAGCCACGGTCACCAAACAACAGACGGCCACGGTCACAGACAACAGACGGCCATGCCAAAGCAACAGACGGCACGGTCGCCAAAACAGCGGCCACGGTCACCAAAACAACAGACGGCCACGGTCACCAAAGCAACAGACGGCCACGGTCACCAAAGCAACAGACGGCCACGGTCGCCAAAACAACAGACGGCCACGGTCACCAAAGCAACAGACGGTCAAGGTCACCAAGCAACAGACGGCACGGTCACCAAAACAACAGACGGCCACGGTCACCAGACAGCAGACGGCCACGGTCCAAAGCAACAGACGGCCCGGTCCCAAAGCAACAGACGGCCACGGTCCCAAAGCAACAGACAGCCACGTTCCCGGTCACCAAGACAACAGAAGACCACGGTCACCAAGACAACAGAAGGCCACGGTCACTAAGACAGCAGACGGCCACGGTCAACAAAACAACAGAAGGCCACGGTCACCAAGACAGCAGATGGCCAGGCCACCAAGACAACAGATGGCCACGGTTGCCAAAAACAACAGACGGGCCACGGTCACTTCAAGACAACAGACGGCCACGGCTGCCAAGACAACAGAAAAGCCACGGTCACCAAGACAGCAGATGGCCATGTCTACCAAGACAGCAGATGGCCACGGCCAATTAAGACAACAGGACGGCTACGGTTAAGCAAAAACAACAGACGGGCCAATACGGTCACTAAGACAACAGACGGGCCACGGTCACCAGCAAAACAACAGACGGCCACGTTCACTAAGACAACAGGAAGGCCACGGTCACCAAGACAGCAGATGGCCACGGTCACCAAGACATGCGTGATGGTCACGGTCACCAAGACAGCAGATGGCCACCACCACCAAACAGCGCCGGTCACCAAAGCAACAGACGGCCACGACAATGCAAGCAACAGACGGCAACGGTCACCAAGACAACAGATTTGCCACGGTCGCCAAGACAATAGATGGCCGCGGTCACCAAGACAGCAGACGGCCACGTTCACCAGAAAACAACAGACGGCTACGGTCACCAAACAACAGATGGCCACGGTCAGCAACAGACGCTACGGTCAACAAAGCAACAGACGGCTACGGTCACGAAAGCAACAGACGGCCATCAAAACAACAGATTATTACGGTCACTAAAACAACAGATGCCGCCATCACCAAAGCAACAGACGGCCACGGTCACCAAAGCAACAGATGCCACGGTCACCAAAGCAACAGACGGCCACGGTCACCAAAGCAACAGACGGTCAAGGTCAAAGCAACAGACGCCACTACCAAAGCAACAGACGGCCACGGTCACCAAACAACAGACGGCCACGGCCACCAAAGCAACAGGTTTCATTGAAGATGTCTAGAAAAAAATCTAGCCAACAGAAAACCTAGTTAATCTAGTTGACTACACTGAGAGGACCGTGACGGCCCATCAGCGGTGTAGGCACACTGACACTGACGCTCTATTATTAAAACATCTTCCCTTGAAGAGGTCAATGTGTTTCAACTGAATTTTAAACCAAATGAGTTCCTGAGACACCACAGTACAGTATTTAACAGGGTGGTGGCGGTAAAATTAACTAATTCAATATTTATAAATTCAATTTTATTGAATTAGTTAATATTACCGCCATAACACCCCGTTAAGTATTGTACTGTGGTGTCCTCGACTCATTTAGTTTAAACTTCAGTGTCAAAAGGCAAAACAAAGACCTTTATGGACAAGAGGCGTGTACCTTTCCAGACCTAATACTGAAGAGCAATAGTTGATGCTTCCTATATGATTCTATGAAGACAACGATTACAGAGCCCACAGGCCAGACACAATTTTTTTTTAACTAAAAGACAAGTAATGTACCATCACAGACCCTATTATATCAAATAAATAAATAATAAATAAACATTAATTTAATAAATAAACTATATCAAAACAGTAAACAAATATATATATATATATATATATATATAGATCACATACTTCTGACAGTACCCGGAAGTAGTAGACTTGATCCTCACAGACACCCCTACCCTCCCCCAACCCCAGTCATAGGGCAGACAGTGAATCTTATTGCTGGTATGTGTGAGGCAGGCAGAGGTGAGAAACACCTGCTGCATCTTCATCTCGCAAGCAATTCTAAACCAGATCCCTAATACTTATTAAAATTCACTGTGTGATTATGACGCTGCAGGGGACTGAGGTAAACGCGCCGGCAACAGTCTACGGATTTAAAGCCCCGGAGGAGTTAACTAAGACGTTTGACCTATGGGAATTCATGAAAGTAAGCAGGAAGCTAACACCATAAATATTATATAAATAATAAATACATATCATAAACACACCTAATATTAATAATAATATACATTAATTTAATCATTACTGTTATTATGAATATTTATATTAACATCATAACTACCATCTCTACCAAAATTATACGTTAACGCAACGGTAATAAAAACGCCGACACACTAATAGCGTTACATATCTGGACGCCAGAAACCTGTTTGTATTCAATATCCACACTACACCCCTTGGGAAGCAAGACAAGAGTTCTATCACATACACTGGGTTAAGTAAATTGGGACAAATCGCGTTACTGCAGCCCAATGAAGTTGAACTGTATATTATTTACTTCATCAGAGTTATGTAACGTCACCAAAAGTGTGCGACAGACTGGGGCGCAGGAGTTATGGTGAAGGAAAAAATTATTGTTAGGTTAATACGGTTAAGGTGCAAGAATTAGTCAAACGTAGGCTATATCAGATTTAGTAGTTACAGCTGACTTAATAAACGTACAAGAATATTACAATCATATCTAGTTAGGGATTCGGGAGTTAATGTCACTTTCACCAGATATACAATATCAGACTAGAGAGAGGAAGGATGATAAAAATACAGTCATTGTAGTTAAGGCAGGAGGTACGGCTAAATACACCCACCTTTGCAAAAAAAAAAGTCAGGCACAGAGTTCAGTACTTTAGAAGGAAGTCGCGATCCAGGTAGTAACACCAAGTAACAGGTCCTGCGGGAGTTACACGAGTTTTTAAAACTATCTCTATAATTGTTCATCGGTGTTGGATTAGCGTACATTAGCCCCATACAGCTAAAAAAGACCAGTCGTTAGCATCCACAGTAATAACATTATAACAACACCAACAGGGAGTAATTTTGTGAGGACGATTGTGTTTCAGAGTAAATGAACCGGGCAGTAAGAAGCTTATCCCTGCAATGGGCTAAGTGAGTCTCATAGATGATCTGGTAGGAAACATCCAGTCCGGTAAGCTGCTCAGAGATACAGTGAATTACGTGTCTGGCATCAGGAACCCATTTTGCATAAAAGAGACAAACGTAACCAACCACTTTACTGATAACAGCTAAAAATATATATACATATTCTTTTTTAATGATGCTTTTACATAATCTCTTAAATAATTAGAGTAATTTATATTCCAACAGAAAGAAAATAAATAAATTTCTAAACAACCTGTAGATATTTTTGCCATGAAATAAACCAATATGAACTGGTTTTTAATCTCCCAACATTTAAAAATGTTTCATATGCTTCTAGTCTCAGCCTCTCCATATGAGTAGCTGTTTTCTGGAGGAGTGAGAACCCTGTATACCCTCAGGTCCC